ACACACACACACACACACACACACACATACATACACACGTTTTCCTTTAACTTTAGTAAAATGCATATAACATAAAATTAACCATTGTAACTGTTTTTAAGTGTATAGTTCAGTAGTGTTAAGTATGTTTATATTGTTGTGCAACCGATCTCCAGAACTTTTTCATGTTGCAAAACAAACTATAGCCATTAAATAATAATTTCCTGTTTCCCCCTACCCTCAGCCCCTGGCAACCACTATTCTACTTTTTTTTTTCTGTGTTTGATTACTCTAGATACCTCACATAAGTGAAATCATACTGTATTTGTCCTTTTGTGATTGGCTTATGGCACTTAGAATAATGTCCTCAAGACTCATCCATATTGTAGCATGTTCTACCTGCTTATATTAAGTTAGATGACACCCATTCTCCCTCACCTCCCAATTCCACTAATAGTACTATAAATTGTTGTTGTTGTAAATAATGGATCCTTTATTTTCTTTATTAAAATTATTGGGATGACATTGGTTAATAAAATCAAATAGTTTTCAAGTGTACAATTCAATAATATGTCATATGTATATTACATTGTGTGTTCACCACCCAAAGTTAAATTCCCTTCCATCACCAAGTATTTGACTCCTTTTACCCTTGTAACCATTAATCTGTGTCCATGAGTCCTTTTGTTTGCCATGTTTGTTTGATGCTTTCAGTTTTATATCTTACATGGTGAAATCATATAGTCCTCAACTTTTTCTGTCTCACTTATTTTGCTTAGCATGATAATCTCAAGATACATCCATGTATCGCAAATGGTAGTATTTCATCTTTTCTTATGACACATATTCCATTGTATATATGTACCACATTTTCTTTATCCATTCATCTATCTAATGATGGGCACTTAGTTGTTTCCACGTCTTGGCCACCGTGAACAATGGTGCTATGAACATCAGGGTGCATATATCTTTGCAGATAAATGTTTTCAAGTTTTTTGGGTAAATACCCAGAAGAGGGATTGCTGGGTCATGTGGTAATTCTATTTTTAGTTTTTTACTTTTTTGGTCTCATCTTCAGGAGGTGATATCTCAGCAATTCTTGTTGCCTTTTCTGACCACAGATGTCTATAACATCTAACTACTAATCTCTTTAAAGAAAATATTAAAATGTTTGAATGAATATTCTTTAATCTCACAAATATTTTATTGAGTTTATGTTTGGGCTGACAGATGAGATTGGAGAAGTATAAAAGAGACCTCAAAACAGTCTTAAAGTTTAAATTTAATCATGAGGGCAAAGGGGGTTATATCAGTTAATAATTGCTGCATATGAAATACCCCCAAATTCAGTGGTTTAAAACAACCATTTGACAGTTTTTGGGGTTAGCAATTAGGGCTATACACAGCTGGGGGTTCTTCACAGGATTTGCTTGGAGTTATTCATGCTTCCACAGTCATCTGCAGGCTTGATCAGAGTTGGGTTATCTAAGAGGGCTTTGCTTCTATGTCAGGCAGTTGGTGATGGCTGTTCACTGATTGGTCTAAAAGGCGTCAGTAGGAAGGGCCTCAAATACTGTCACCCTTCTGGGCCTAGAAGGGATTTCTCCACTTCTTCTTAAAGGCCTCTGGAGACCTAGGTTCAGAAGTCCATATTGTCGCTTCACCTGACATCTGTTGGCTAGAGCAAGATGTTAGGCCAGCCCCAGTTCAGCAAAGTGGGAGAAACAGACTCCACCTATTGATGGAATCGTCAGCACAGTCATGTTGCAAATATGTTGTGTGTACAGGAGTGGGAGGAATTTGTTGTTCATTTTTCATAGTCTTATACAAGAATGATAGGATGAGATTTGTATTTTAGAGTAATCACACTGGGTGTAATGTCAAGAAAGATTTGGAAGAGGGCAGGGAAGAGTAGTCAAGACAGGGTTAAGAGGCTATTGCAGTCATCTATGGGAGAGATGGTAATATGAATGTGTAAAGACATTACTACACATTTTTCATCCTCTGCTTCTAAATGTCTCAAGATATTCCATACAGATTTGTAAAAGGGCAAAATGGAGAGAGGAGATATTGACCTGATCCAGAGAGGCTGTACTAGATCAGGATCAACTGGAAATAATTGGTTAAGTTTTGATAAAGCCTTTCTATTAGTTCAGATAATTTAAAGGAGAAATCTGTGATACTTATTCCCTCAGCATGCTGGCCACTAAGAGCTTAGGAAGAATTGAGTGTAAGGAAGATTTATTTTTGTTACCTTATATCCAGTTTCCCATACAAAGTTCTCATCATATCAAGGCCCGCCTGCTGCATTTTTCTCATACATTATTGGGTAGGGATACATTATAGTTCAATTAAAGTAATTGAGGTAGAGGTGAGAGTATTAAAGTTTTGCATTTTAGAAGAGATGTTTGTTAGTTGACATTTCTAAATATATAATGTGTGAGCAAATGTGGGTTGTCTTTTTTTGCAAGGTGTTAAAAATAACAATAGCATAAAGATATATATTCACAGACTAAAGTGTATATCTGTTTTTCTGTCTAATCAGCGTTGCAAGCACATGGATCTCTATCCCATTGGTCTCCATAAATAGAGATTCATTGCCTGGAAAAGAGCACCAGACCACAGAAACCGCAAATGAAAAATAGGGTAGTTCTTCAGTTCTCCCTACTTGTAGCTCAGAGTTTTTGAGATTCTTGTAATGCGTGATGCTTGATTAATAAAATGAATGATTCCAAAGGAATAGTTAGGCTATTTATTGACATATTCACCAACCCACTATTTTGAAGCAATTGCTTTGCAATGTGGGTGGGTGACTATCAGAATTTTCACTGTAATAATTACGAAATTATTAGTAAAAGCATATAGGCTATTAAATTTATTTTTGCCACCACTTCTACTTTTGTAATCATACCCATTCCATTTTCACATTTCCATGATTGACTTAAAATTGTCTTTTTTTCCAGGTAATTTGAGTCAAAACCCAAAGTTCACATATTGTTTTTCGTTAATATTTCTTAAATTTCTTTTTGTCCATTTTACTAACATAGTTCTCCCTCCCTTTTTTTTTCCTTTGGCTATATATCACTTGTTGAAGAAACTTGGTCAGTTGTTTCAATTTCTTTTTTTTTCTACATTCTGGGTTTTGCTGTTTAAAAGACCCAAGGAAAGACATTAGTCTCAGAGCCTTCTTCCATTTCATATATTTTGTTGAGCACTTGTTACTGTAGTGGAGTGAGAGAAGGGCTATTTGGGATACATCTTTGAACAAAACAGACAAAAATCCTTTCCTTCATGGCATTTACACTCCCATTCCAGGGGAGGTAGACAATAAACAAAAATGAATTGTAAAGTTTGTTAGAAAACAATAGAGGGTAAGAAGGGAATAGAGAGTGTAGGACCTTGCTGGATGTGTAAGATATGTAGCTAAATGCAGTGGGAGCCACTGAGAGTGGAGCAAAGGAGTAATATAATCTAATTTACATTTAAGCAGGTCACTCTGACTGCTGTGTAGTGGATGAAGAGGCAAGGGTGCAAAGCTCCTGTGTAATCGTGGCAAGAGATGGTATAGGATTCAATGGGGGAGAGCCTGCAAGCAAGGGAGTAGTCAAAGGACAGTTGGCCAGGTTTCTGCTGGAATGACTGACACAAGGTCTCAGAGGTTAGTCACAAGTCTCAGCTGAATAGTTACTAACAATCTCCATTCACTATTCTGTTGATAAAGGACTATTGTAAACTGGTGCTTTTTGAAGGTTGTATTATGTTAATGGCTTTTGATTTTTTTTTTTTTTGAGTTGTTAGGTGTTTGTTTCTTTTTATTTCTTCTAAACTTCATAAAATGCTTTCTGTTTTGCAAATGTCTTATTTAGTGGCATTTAAAATTTTTCTTGGTTCTTTTTGAAAAATTTCAAAACTACAAAAAAATAAAAGAATAGTAAAATGAATAGTCAGTCCCTTCATCTAAATTCAGCAATAAACATTTTGTAACATTAGCTTCAGAAAATATATATGTATCAATTTTTTTTTTTTTTTTTGGCCAATCCATTTGACAGTAAGTTGCAGACATCAAAAACACACAAGAAATTTAACATCAATACCATATGATTATCTAATATATATAGTCCATATTCAGATTTTTTATTGTTGTCCACTTTTCATCTAGGATTCAGTCCAGGGTCTCCCATTTGGTTGTTATGACTCTTGTCTCCCTACTTTTACTTTTGTCTTTTATGACATTGATATTTTTAAGGAGAACAAGCTAGTTGTCTTGTAAAACAGCGGTCCCCAACCTTTTGGGCATCAGAGACCGGTGTTCCTGTGTGATCTGAGGTGTGCCTCATGATCTGAGGCAGAGATGAGGAGGTAATGCTAGCACTGGGGAGCAGCTGCAAGTACATATGGAAGCTTCTCTCGCTCGGGCCACACACCTGCTGTTGGGAACCCCTGTTATAGAATGTCCCACAGTCTGGATTTGTCTGATCATTTCCTCATGATTAAATTCTAGTTAAACCATGCAGATGTTCTTTTACCTTTTGAAGATTTAAAAATTTAAACATAGGAATAGTGTAGGTTTTATAAAGTCTAAGTGTTACTTCTGTTTCTACAAAGTGCTAGCGAAGCACCTGTTCTTGTAATAAGCATTGTCACAGAGTCTGAGAACATTAATTGAGGGGAATTTTAGATTTCACCTTCGGAAGTCACAGACTGCAGAAAAGTAGCAGAATGGGCATAGTCTTAAAACAAAATAGAAACAGAAAGCTGGATTTTGACACCTTCAAGACCCAGTTGATTTTTTAATAAAGCTGTATTGATGGGATAAGTAGAAACTCTATAATCTTGGTACTTTCTGTAATTAGGGAAGATGAATGAATTAGGGATACCATAGAATGAAGTTTCATCTGACATATTAATAATAGGTCCTAAGTTTATAGAATGTGTATGTGTGTGTGTGCGATACCATCTTAGGAGAATGGATTTTTTAAATCTTTGCACTATTTTTCATAATAACTTTCTTCCTTTTTTAGCTACAAGGCTTTAGCCGACCAAGTGTATACCATGCTGCTGTTGTCATTTTCCTTGAATTCTTTGCGTGGGGCCTATTGACAACTCCAATGTTAACTGTAAGTATTGCTAAACTAGATCATGAGAGCAAAAGAGTTCTTAAGCATATGTTCATATGGCTATATGTCTAAGTATGTGTCTGAGAGTAGCTCTTGACAGTAATTTAAGACTGCTTATTCCATTGGGTTGTTTCCACCAGCAACAAAATACCCAGACTGTTCATTAAATATTCCTGGGCAGCAAGGCACTCCCACTGAACCAGAATCTTGGTTCATAGCGAATGAACTATATATATATATATTTAGGAAGAGCATTAAAATATCTTAGAGGAAATTATCACAAAGCTTTGAAGTTTGTAAATTACTTTATATGAGTGTAATTGCCTTTGACTTAAGAATATAGTAAATAGGAGATTGCTATTTGTCTGCAGAGGCTGTATTCAGTTTCTTAGAAAGAACTTAGATGTATGGTATGGTTAGCGGGAAGAGAGATGCTGAAGAAAAGATTGAGGTATAGATTTTAGGTGCCTAGTAATGATTTAACACTTAATTTTAATAAAGACATATTTTAATTGGCCTTAAATTTCAATAGTCTTAAATTGTTCTTTACATATCACTGGTGGTTAAAATCCTTACCTGGAAGCCAGTCAAGATGGCGGAGTAGGTAAATGCTGTGTTTGCCTCTTCTCATGACCCCATTAAAATTACAACTAAAATAGAGAACAGTCAACCTGGAGAATCACCTGAAGACTAGCTAAGTGGAACTCCTATAACTAAGGTTATAAAGAAGAGATCATGTCGAGATCAGTAAGAGGGGTGGAAATGTGAAATGGGCTGGTCTCACACCAACACGTGGCTGTTGAGAATCGAGAAGGGTATCTCAGCTGCAGAGGTCCCTGCCAAAAAGCAAGGGGTCCCAGCCCAGGGATCAGTACTGAGAAAAGTAGTCCTCACAATAGCTGGCTGTGAACATCAGAGGCAATTCTGTCTTGTCCTGGTGAGATGGAGGGGTGCTGGAAGCTTAGGAATCCTCTAAAAGGCCCATGCACATACTCACTGACTCCCAATCATTCACCCTAAGCTCTAGCAAAGAGTCAGTTTCTCAAAAGGTACCAGAGACATACAGGGAGAAACGGATTTGTGTGTCTTCAAAGTGAAGGCTGCCATTGTCCCTGTGTTGAGCATTCCCCCCACACAGCTGCAGGGGCAGGCGGACGCCAAATCTGAACCTTTATTAACCCGATGAACATAGCTCACTCATTCTCTGAGACCTCACTCCACCCAAATTGCACTCTGCCCTTGGTTATTTCAGTGCCTATCCCTCACAGGCAGCTTATGCTGCAGTCTTTCTTTAAAAATTTCAAAGTTCTGCTGGCCCCAGGTAGGCGGCAACTGACCTCAGTGTACCCTGCTCGTTTTGCTGAGTGACCCCAGGCCAAATGCAGGGGGCAACTGGCCTTGAGTCATAGTGTGGAATCTCCCACATGCCTCTGGGCCCAGCACAGGCAGTTGCCGACTGTGGATCTCTTTGTAGCTCCTGTCAGATGGGCCCAGGCCGGGCACAAGCAGCACCTGCCCTCCGCCTGTACTGGAGACCCTCCCAAGAGGCCCCAGAATCAACACACAGTGGCCTACCTCAGACTACAACAGTGTACCACCTCTTAGATCCACAAACAGCATACCCAGAGGGTAGTTTCAGAAGTCACCAGAACATGCTGGGGCAAATCCTGCTCCGTGGAGTCAGCCCCCTCTGTAGTTGTGGCCAGTTTTCACAGCAAGTCAGCCTGAGGGTCAACCTTACCCATGGACAAGCCAACAACAATCAAGGCTCAACTATGACAGAAGGGCACACACAATCCATACAAGGGGCACTCCTGGACACCAGGCTTGGGTGAACAGGGAGACTGGTAGATGTGGTCGGTCTGCCTAATACATAGAAGCAAACAGAGAGGCAGGCAAAATGAGACAAACATGTCTCAAATGACAGGACAGAAGAAAACTCCAGAAAAAGAGCTAAACAAAATGGAGGCAACCAATCTACTAGATACAGAGTTCAAAACACTGGCTATAAGGATATTCAGTGCACTTAGAGAAAAATAGATCAACTCAGAACTTTAACAAAGAGATAGTAAAAAAGGACATAGAAACCATGAAAGAGTCAGCGATAGAGTACAGTAACAAAGAATATACTAGAAAGAATCAATAGTAGATTAATTGAAGCAGAGGATTGAATCAGCGATTTGGAAGACAACACAGCAGAAAACACCCAATAAGAGTAGCAAAATTTAAAAAAAGAATTTGAAAAATGAGGATTGTTTAAGGAACCTCTGGGACAACTTCAAGTGTACCAATACCAAGCACATCATAGTACCAGAAGCAAAAGAGAGAGAGCAAGGGATTGAAACCTTATTTGAAGTAGTGACTGAAAACTTGCCTAACCTGGTGAAGGAAATAGACATACAACCCTAGGAAGCTCAGAGTCCCGAACAAGATGAACCCAAAGAGGCCCACACCAAGACACGTCATCATGCCAGTTTAAGGACAATTTAAAAGCAGCAAGAGAAAAGCAGTTAGTTACATGTAAGGGAGTTCCCATAAGACTGTCAGCTGATTTCTCAACAGAATTTGCAGGCCGGAAGGAATTGGCACAAAATATTCAAAGTGATGAATTGCAGAGACTTACAACCAAGATTACCTAGCAAAGCTATCATTTAGAATCAAAGGACAGATAGAGCTTTCCAGACAAGAAAAAGCTAAAGGAGTTCATTACCGCCAAGCCAGTATTACAAGAAATGTTAAATGGACGTTTTTAAGGAGAAAAAGAAGAAAAACATAGATGTGAATAATAAAATGACAATAACTACATACATGTCAATAATCACTTTAATGTAAAGGGATTAAATGTTTCAATCAAAATATAGATGACTGAATAAGAAAATAAGACTCATACTTATACTGTCTATAAGAACCAACTTCAGATTGAAAGACACACAGAGACTGAAAGTAAAGGGATGGGAAAAAAATATTTCATGCAATGAAAATGAAAAAAAAAAAAAACTAGGCTAGCAATACTTATTTCAGACAAAATAGACTTTAAAAGAAAGGATAGTCACATCAGAAGCATGGTGATGTAAGGGGTCTCCTTTGTCTCTCCCCTTGAAATTTCAACAAGTTGAATAGCTATAATTCAACAAGGATTTTCAGCCTAACGTACAAACACTTCTGAGAGGTCTGCACATTGAAACATCTAAAGATGGGCAAATTGGGGCAACTGGGAGAAAGGAATGGAGAAGAGCAGAGATGAGTGCCACAAAAACAGCACGGATATCACTATGGGACTCAAGGAGAGAGGAGGAATCAGGTTGTTGCATACACTCTCATTAGCCCTGATCATTCCTGCCTGAGTGATTAGCATATACTATGCCTGAACCCGGCCACTCAGCAGGAGGTGAGTGGCAGGCAAGCAAGCGAAGCTTCTTCTGTATTTGCAGCTGCTCCCTAGTGCTAGCATCATCGCCTCGGCTCCACCTCAGATTATCAGGCATTAGATTCTCATAAGAGCACCAGTTCCTGGTGTCAGAAAAGTTGGGGACTGCTGCAGTGATCTATTGAGGCAGAGACCAGAATACAGAAGTGCAACAGCTATGTTCTAGTAGCTGCCACTGCCAGGCAGAAAACAAATTCACTGAGCCTGACCAACTCTCCCCACCCTCCCAGAACTCACTTTTCCGCATCTTGCCAGAACTAGCAGCAGGCCTCAGAAAAAAACTATCAGCAAGTGTCAGACAACAAAGCAGAGTATATACAGCTCAGACAACTGAAGACACAGCTTTTGAGAGGCAGATGCACGCTGCTACTAATCCCAGTGATGGGTGGAGATACAGAGGTAAGGCAGCTGAGGTCTGGCAGTCACCATTACTAGGAGGAAAACAAAGCTGCAAACACACCAGCTGCTTCTCCCAACCTACCCAGCCACCACTCATTGAGGCTGGTCCCAGCATAGGCTACTGAGGCAGCACTGGCCCTTTAGGGGCTCAGAACCCAATCATCTACCACATTCTTGCACAGGGGTGGAGCCCTGGACCAAGGCATCCTGGTCACAGAGGAGACACCCATCTCCCCAGAGAATAAAGGGCAAATTTGTTAATTCTCATAAATGCCAAAGTAGAGAAATAATCCATCAAATACTATGAACAACCAAAGTAACGAGGCAGCTCAGAAAGAAAATGCATTATCTCCAGAAAACAAACTTAAAGACGTGGAAATATGTGATTTAAATGACAGAATTCAAGATTGCAGTTCTGAGAAACTCAACAAGATACAAGAAAACTCATGCAGTTTAATGAACTCGGAAATAAAGTTAGCAAACAAAAGGAATACTTTACCAAAGAGATTGAAACATAAAGAACCAAATAGAAATTCTGGAACTGAAGAACTCCATAAAAGAGCTGAGGAATGAAATAGCAAGCTTAGGAAATAGAGCTGACCAAATGAAGGAAAGAATTAGTGATGCCAAAGACAAATCTGGAAATGAAGCAGATGGAAGAAGAGAGAGACTTGAGAGTAGGAAAAAAAAAAATGAACTCTACAAGAACTATTTGACACCGTCAGTAAAAGCAATATAAGAATAATGGGTTATACCAGAAGGAAATGAGAGGGAGTGGGGAACAGAGGAGCATATTCAAACAAATAGTTGACAAGAATTTAACAAATCTAAGGAAAGAACTGGATCTTCGAATCCAAAAAGCAAACAGAACACCTAAGTATCTCAATCCAAAAAGGCCCTCTCCAAGGTACATTATACTAAAACCCAAAAACTAATAACAGAATTCTCAAGGCAGCCGGGGAAAAGATGACGGTAGCCTATAAAGGAAATCTTATTAGATTGAATTTTTAAGCAGAAACTCTACAAGTTAGGAGGTAGTGGAAACAAATATTCAAACTATTGAAAGAGAGAACTTACCAGCCTAGAATAATTTATCCAGCAAAGTTATTCTTTAGATATGAAGGAGAAATAAAGACCTTTCCAGACATACAGAGGCTAAGGGAATTTTCTGCCA